TATAACATTTTATCTTTTTGGAACCTTCTTTATAGGCTGGAAAAAGAACAATTTTGTTAGCAGATTATGTTTAGTGTAATTGTTTTTTTTTTTCAAGCTTGAAAACGCATTAAGGGTAGGTCGAGATTCCACTGTTATTTTTTTTGGTTCTACACGTATTTTTTTGGTTCAGCGTAAGATTATCATGTTTGTATGACCCCTAACTTTCCAGATTGTCTTCCAACTTTCCAACTGCCTAATGCCTTTAATGTTTATGCAGTGATTGTTGCTGAAAGCATAGCTGAAATATTTAACAAATTATTGTTATTTTCATTTTGGCTTTGTCCAAATGAAAAGCTGTTTTCTATTATTTCAGCCATGCATGATAGATAAAATAATTATTATAATGTATTATAATATTGCATGTATGATTGGTCGTCTAGCTAAGCCTTCTCACTTAACAAAAGGTATTGAATTTATTTAACTAGAAAAATGGTAATATCTCTCACTCGTCATTAGACGTACAACAGACTTCTCCCGCATTCCACTTCAGAGAGCAAACGTAAGAAAACGAGCTCAAGTTTGAATAAACAATTTCGTACCAATTACTGTATAAAGTCAGCCCAAGCCTTGAGTTGGTTTCCTTTGTTCACAGGAATGCGGGGAAGGTCTATTAACGCTTTTTGTCTTTTGCTGGTTTGGTATCAAATAACATTTAAAGTTATTAACAATGACATCTCTGCCTCGTGTAGTGGTTTATTTAAAAACACAATACCACATGGAAAGTGTTTTGGTGTTTTGTACGGTATTTATGTTGTAGTTAATTTCTTGTCCCACGTAATTTTTCTTTTTCTTTTGTTAGTCTCGCTGGCGTAAGCAGCGAGGCTCTTAATTTGCAACGCGTTTTTCTTCGTATTTGTGACACAAAAGGGGGTCATTGTGCCAGGCGTTCCTAGCGGAGACCGTGGAAACTGGGAATAAGAATCATTGCGTGATCGAAGCCACGCATGTTTTGCGAAGAAAGCTTAGGAAAGATCAAATTTAGTGCTTTTCCGAAACGTGTCGGTCCACGAATTATATCGCTTGAAAGCGTCGATTGGAACAAGTGAACGCATTAAGTGAACACTACCAGGATTGGCTCCAGACACTACCGAGTGGTGGAAAAAAAATAAGAAACTTAATTAGCAAAACTGCGATGGTCGGGAGTGCTGACCATTTGCACGGAAATTTCGGTGGAAAATTTCCTTCAAATGGTACTGGTATTTTTTTGGCACCGAAAACAGGAACGGGATTGAGTTGTACCATTTACAAAATACCGGTAAAGTTTTCGCTTTCTCTGGACATCAAGCCTGGCACCAGTAATCCAAATAAATAGTACAGAAAATTTTGGTTGTTTCGGTAAAAACGGGAAAAAGGTAATACCTCGAAAGGTATTCCTTTTTTTCCCGAAAATTTCCACCGGGGTGAACCGCTCCATTTGAATTCTCCCCGAATTTCCGGGTTTTCCATACAAATGGTAAGCGCGTCAGGTGTTGTAAACTTTCATTGTATGCAAATGAGTCTTGTGATGAGCGTGCGGTTTATTTGCGGCGATGATTGAAATGACGTGCCATGTAAATCACTTTTTTGATCTCTGATCTCTGGTTATTTCTCTGGAATCGTAGCCTGCAAACGGCAGACGTTTCTCCTCGCTCTTCGCCGCTGAGGGACGTTTCGCGAGGAGGAACGTCTGCGACTCAGCGACAGAAATTCCATACTGATGACGTAAATCAATGTTTACATAATAAATCCGGTTGTCATGGGGTTTCAAATGCAAATTTGTTCAATTTTACATTTCTTCTTGTCGATTTTGGTAAAGTGTTGTGTTCATCTGCGAATGAGCTCCAGCTAAACTCAAATGCTTCTTCTAGAGAAGACTATATTCCACAAATATTGGCTGTTTTGTTAGAGATTCATCGCGTTTACATGTGACCTTTGTGGCCTTTCAATATTAAAATATTGTTTTTTGTCTGTCATTTGTAAACAATGGCTAAAACAATGAAATTACTCCGTCGACCAATTAGCGCTTCTTACCGGATTCAGGACAGATTTTACGTCATCAGTATGGAATTTCTGTCGATGAGTCGCAGACGTTCCTCCTCGCGAAACGTCCCTCAGCGGCGATGAGCGAGGAGAAACGTTTGCCGTTCGTAGGCTACTAAAATCGAGGCCCTTGAATCTTTGTGTATTTAGCCTGCGACCGCAGACGTATTTCTGGTCGTCGCTAACACGCGATAAAAAGTATCAACGTCGATAAAATAGGAAGTAAAAAACCTTTAGCGAGTAAATCCTGTTTCGTGTAGAATTAATCGCCTGCCTATTTCTCGATCTAATCTCCAAGCAAGCGAACCTTAACACCGCTGTGAGAGCGTTCTTGTTTTCACTTCATTAGCATACATTACCATACCCAAAAACAAAAGAAAAACAAAAATTACCTGAGATGAAAAAGTAACTACAGCATTTACGCACGAGTTGTTGACGTAGAAATAAAATCGAATGAGTGAGATTTCTGATACAAAAACAACGAGTGCCTGCACTTTCCATGAAGTATTCCATATACACCAATCTTAAATTTTAGTGCGTAAATCACCCGGGCGTGCAGGTGTAGTACACCTGGTTGAGTTAAAAACCGTTTATTCACGTCCGTTACACACTGTACTCTTAAACCGAAAAGAACTAACCGAATAAATTAAACAAATGCTATATGTATACATGTAAATTCTGTTAGGTCCCGAGTGTATTACATCACTTGTATTCCTACGCGTACGTCACTACACAATACATTCCCTCCTTTCCTAAATGTTCAACAAATCAAAGTCTTGGAATTAACCTAGACACACGATAAAAAAAGAAAAAAGAAAAAGAAGTTCGAGACATCCGGTTCAAGCACTTATATGGCTGTATAACGCACAGGCGGTCTTACAGTCCTTGTTGACCTCCGAATAGGCCTTCCCGCACAGGTATCTTTTCGGGGAAATGCCTAACATAAATCCTCTATTAAACCCCCCGGGGAGCTTATATATTTCAAGCCTATTTGAGGGGGGGGGGGCTTAATAGAGACGGGGGGCTTATTTAATTTAGAAATGACGATGGTATCAGTTCTCCACAAAGAACTAAAATACAGATTGGAAAGGCTTACGTATAAGAAGTTTTAGGTCATGCAGCCGAGGATCAGAATCAAATCCGGACATCCAGTTGGTAAATAAACCATCCCGGATCAGTGCTGCACTCGAAGTTTTACGGTCGTGATTGATTAATACAGTCTATCATTTATTAGTGAAGAGTAATTAGGGGTGGGGAGAGGCGGGTTATTAACTTTCTTCCACTAAAAAGAGGAGGCTTAGGGACTGTGCAATAATTATCGGGAGGGGGGGAGGGGGCTGAGAAACTAGAGTTATCTAGCAAAAACTTAGACAGTACCCCCCCCCCCTCCATAACAAAAAAAATTAGTTCTAACCCGCCTCTGTTATGTTAAAAATAACGTCGTCGTCCCCCCCCCCTCCCCCCAACAACCACCCAAGATTTAGACAAAGCACTTGCTAAGTACCGGGGTGCTTACCACATTGGCTCAAAATCTAAAACTTCTGAAGCCAGAAAGAGAAAGGAGCAGAGAAAAAAAATCAAAGAACAGGAGATTGAACGCCTCAAGTAACAGACGAAAAAGAGCTTGCATTTTATTTAGATCCTTGGGAGGAGAGCCTGATGAACTTTGTTATGAGCAAGATATATATGGAATTCAGCAAATCGATTCAGTCGATGAAGAAACATTACTTTTATTCACATCAAAAACCGACAAAGCTTCAGAAGCTTGTCTACGAGATCTCTTTGATTCCCATTGTTTTATGGGGGAAGCTGAAAAACAAGTTCACGATTTTTGCTTTACATAGGATCAGCTTAATTAGTAGAAGACAGGTTAAAATTGATCACTTGTGAATTTGCTTTTCATTTTGATGGAATATTTTCAATAATCGTTTAACAGCTGTTCGTATTGATATTTGTTACAGTCTATCATGATGCCTGTATTGAGAATCTTTTATTGC